CGACTTTTATCGGCTCTGGTCATATCACGACAATGTGATGATAGTAGTAGCTTCAACTTCCACAATGCGACAATGATCAATAGTCATCCAACGACGGAAGATAGTTACGTTACGACATTCGGTACAGTAGAGACGTTCCTAGAGTAGTAGTAATCGTTAAACTTTACAGTAAACATACCAGTGATAGTGGCATCAGTACGTTGATAACGAAAAGACGTCGTCATAAAGTAGAGCTCGACGAAGGGTCAACCAGCTCAAACAACACCAGCCACGCCATAACCATCATCAGCTGTAAACAGCTGATAAACCGAAGGCCTTGTCATGGTCAGCAACAATTAGCGAACATAATCATAGATTGAGACCAGCAACAGCCATTACAATCAAAACCAGAAGATACAGCGGAGAAGACTATCAATTGCTACCAACCCACAGAGAAGCAAGCCGGACAGATAATAACAGGTTCATCATCATCTAGGCTATCGAACGATCGCTTCAGTGGTTGTAACAACGAGCATATGAATGTTGAGAAGACGAATAGTCTAAGCTCGAAAATACAGTTAGAAGAAAAAGGGTATATCACAAGCTACTAACGTTTTACGTAGCCTCTATGGACAACACATCAACGACAATGCCATCATAGATCATTCCAGAGCACGCATACACATGACGACTGAACGGTCGCATAATGGGAAGGATGATGTTTCCGACAACGCCCACGACACATGATGACGACAAATGACTTAGGACCATATCGTACAAGAATATCAGCCAGATGCAGGAAATGATGGCATCTCCTCAACGAGGCAATAATAGTATGAATGAGTTAATGATATTAGCGACGATAAATATGAGAACTTCAGAGAGAGACAACTACAATAACCTCCATTGCTGCGATGGTAAACACGTTTACAACAAACTTCACGTAAAATCCTAAACAGTGGGCAACGCTACATCCTCAGAATAGAGGGTAAAAAGCGTCACACTGCAGCTACCACCACCACCTTAGCAATGAGATGGACAACATATCACTATGGAAAATACCCCTCAACGTTCAACCTTCCAGATCAACAACAACACGGTCGGACTTCACGGCAGACTTCGACGACTCCCCATCGAAACCATCAATGACCGTATCAGCATCACCCTCCTTCATTTGCTTCACATCCTTCTGAGCAACACCCAAGTTGGCCGCGGCGACTCTGTTAAAGTACGGAATCAGCGCTAGACTACCGACAGCACCCAGGACGCAGAAAGCGATTAGAACCATGTAGTAGTAATCGTAATGAGAACCACCCCACGTAGAAGGATCATCAGGTTTGAAATCAGGTAACCAAGGTGAACAGACCTGGAAAAGGACAGCCGAAAGCATAGAGCCGAAGGAGAAGAACAACAAGTTCAACCCTGAGGCACACGCCTTCAATTGCCCAGGTGAGTAAGTGAATGCGACTTCATATGAAGTAGCAAATAGGAAACACTCACCAAGAGCAATAAGCCAGAATTGGGGGACCTGCCACCATGCTGAGATAGTGAATAGAGGTTTCGCCATCACAACATACTCCAACCCCATAGCACATAGCAGGGAACATGCACCAGCCACGCAACCCAGACAGAACCTCACCAACACGGAGGGCATCATATTCCTCTTTTGCAAGAAGGGGAATATAAGCTGATCCAATATCAGTGAGTTAACAATAACAGCGAAGGGATCAACATTTTGGAACATTGCTGCGGGCATATCCCAACCGAAAGTATCTGTATCCATCTTTGTTGCCTGAGTCAAGTAAGCAGTAGTCATCTGAGTGTAGACCATTTGGAAAGGTATAACAATAACAAACATGGGCACCAATCGTAGTAAGCACTTCGTATCCTCAATAAAAGAATCGTCGAATTTACCACCCTTCGACCTCTTACACTTCTCGAATGAGAACTTAGTACATGCCACACCGATGACCTCAACCACTTTCAGAACTGCCGAACCCTGCGGCTTCGGCTTGACGTATCTTCCCAACATACCACCCGATAGGAATACCACGCAGGCGCACAAGAAGACGATTGTGATGAAGAGGAAAGCAACAAAGAAGGAGCACTCTTGCACAAGGATGGGGGAGACGATACCACCAATAATACTACCAACATTGATGGTAGCATAGAAATAGGTGTAATACCTCGTGATAAGGTCCTTATGGTGCTCAGGGTGAAACTGCTGAGCCCCCATGATGTTCACACAACTCTTGATACCACCAGCACCGAGTGCGATAAGGAAAAGTAGTGCCACATCAATCATCCATTGTTCAGAGATAGACTCGATTGCTGATAGCGTCAGTAGAACCAACCCACATGCATAGATCAGTGAAAATATGACGATCGTGACGTATAGACCGAGGATGGTATCGGACAAGGCGGCCGACACTAGGGGGGTCAAATAAATGATCGAATTGAAAATAGAAATATAAGAGTTGGCACCACTATCTTCCATACCAGCAAACTCCTTCAAGAAGGTCTGCAAGTTGGGCGTGAGACCATAG